CAAAAAATAGAATGGCTCATCAGAAACTGATTGCTGTTCAGAGTATACTGATGTTTGCTCAATTTTAGTTACTTTTTTTTCCTTTTTTGTTTGCAACTATTAGGATGACTTGATTCTTCTGGTGGCCCTGTGCGATCGTCAAGTTTATGTCTTCAGTTTCCTGGCTTCTAGCGACAAGTGGAACGGCTGCGGATGAACAGATGAATCTGCTTGTTGTTCAGTTGCGTTTTTTTACAGTTTTTTTTGTTTGCGAAAGGTGGAATAATTTCGATAACCATTTTTCCCTTATTTTTCTGATGTTTGCGACAGGCGGAATGATTTCTGATTAAACTTAATTCTTAGTTCATTTGTGTTCATTTTTAAAGGAGTAGGCAAGCATTTGAATTGTTGTTCAGAAACTGATTGCTGTTCACATTCTTCTGCTCACGTTTATTTCTGTTTTCTTTTTTTGTTGTTGTTTGCGACCGGTAGGATGACTATTGATTTGTTTCGACGTCTTTTTTGTGTCTTTCAACAAACGTAAAGTATTTATCGCAACTCAGATTAACTCCGGTAATAATTCTGGTTGTTGTTGGGCATGTATGCTGGCTGTTTTCCTGTGATGGTAACCATGTGATGGTAACCAACTTTTTAATGACATAACTCTTAATGTTTTTCCGTGAGATTTGCACCTAGGTGAATTTTTAGTTATTTACACATCAATTGCAATTAATATCAATTTTTTTTGGGCAAAAGTTCCTTAACCGTCAATGAGCGAATAAATTAATCTCTTATTTAGGCCGCGTTGTGTTTTTCGATGATAAATTTGTAAAATTTGTTGGATTACGAGTTTGATTTTTTGTGGTTTGTTTTCAGTTGAGGTAAAATTTTTGTTTATTGGTAGGAAAATTACGCTTTCCAATAAGCAACATTCAAATGAGGCGAAAAATTGAGAGTGACCTCAAAATTCGAAAGTTAAATTGTTCGCGAATTTTCATTGAAACTTTTCCAACCTTCTTTGATAACGCGACAGCCAAAACGACTACGTGATGACTAAGTGCAGTTTCATCTCTGTTTTTCTCAATTTGTTCTGAGCTATTTTAGTTTTCCAGAAACGGTTTGCTGTTCAAAATTTTTTTTTGTTATTTCTGTGACGTTTGCGACTGGCTGATTTTCATTTTTTTTCTCTTTTTTGTAAGTTGGAAAAAAGAATGGCTTTTCAAAGAGTGATTGCTGTCGAGTAATTTGTATTTCATTTTTTTCATCTGTATTCAAAAAAGCGGAGTGACCTTTGATAACGATTTTTTCCCCGTTAGTTTGTTGTTATTTTGATGGTCCCTTTTGATGCGACAGGCTTGGTGATTTCTGATTTTCCTAATAATTGTGATCGATTTTCAAGTTTTCGTGGTACGTCGTTTTTGCAATGTTACAAAAAGGGGATGGGCTACTTTCTAACTGATTTTTGTTCAGTAATTTTTCCGTCCTTTCCGAGTGTATTATTTTACCGTCCTTAACTCCGATGTTTGCGACAGGCAGCTTGACAGCTGATTACCTTGACAAGCTTGTTTGATTTAAGTAGTATATTTGAGGTTTTGTTTTTCTGTGATGTTTGCGACTGGCGGAATGATTTCTTATTAAACTATTTTCTCTGAATGATCTTCATTTGTGTTCATTTTTAAAGGAGTGGGCAAGCATTAGAATGGCTGTTAAGAGCTTATTGCTGTTCATAGTATTCTGTTTTTTGCTCAATGTTAGTTCTATTTTCTTGTTGTTTGCGACAGGTAGGATGATTTTTGTTGCGTATGACCACTCTCTTCGATCGTTAATTATGCATGCCTTCAGTTTCCTCGCTTGTTGCGACAAGTGGAATGGCTACTGATTAGCAGATATTTTCTTACGTTCAGTTTTTTTCTTCTTCTTTTGCAGTTTGCGAACGGCGGATTACTTCCGATAACCATTTTTCCATTATTTTACTGATGTTTGCGAGAGGCGGAATGATTTTTGATTATCCTTATAACACTGATTGATTTTTGGGTTTTTTCCCATCGTTACATCGCAATGTTAAAACAAATGGAAATTGGATTGGGTACTGTGTAACTGATTGTTGTTCAATGTTGAAACATTGTTTCTGCAGTTTTTGCGACAAGCGGAATGTTTTTTGACTTAAAAATCTGACTCGGGCTGTTTTAGTTTTTCCTACTTTACTTTTTTTTTCGACAGGAAAGAGTTGTTGATTAGTATAAAAATCCTGATTGGTGGTTACTTTTTGGCATCCTTTTTTGCAAAATAGATGTAATTTTTTTATTTGAGTTCCAAAATTTTCTGTCCTTATTTTGATGCTTATGACGGGCGGATTGACAACCGATGACCATGACAGTTATGTTTGATTTTTGTAGTATATTAGGGCTGTTGTTTTTCTGCGATGTTTGCGACAGGTTATGACAAGTTTTGCTCAATTTGTTCTGAGCTGTTTCAATTTTTTACATAAATGATAATTGTGACAGGCAGAGACTGACTATCAGGTTTTCAACACATATTTAGAAAATCCTGCCTTTTATTGATTGATTGATTTGATATGTACTGAATATGGTGGGTATTCACAAGTACCAAGATAAGTCAGTCCCATTTGTATTAAAATAAAAATCGATCAAGTTAGTACCAAAAATAATCAATTCACCAAAGTCTACTAAGACTACTTTTTTAAACTCTTGGTCTAAGGTCGCCAGTAGGTGCGCTACACAAGCGTGGCCGCTTTGCGGCGATAACCGGCTCTAATTTTCGTAAAGAGTTCTACCCTACGTTGTTAAGCTCGAAACACGTTGACGCGACTGTGGCGGCCACTACTCTGCTGTTTTAGTTTCTATTTGAACAGTAGAAAATTAATATAATAAATAGTTGGCTCACAATTCGACCAATCAGAAATCCACTTGAACCATTTGGTACAAATGGGACCAATTTTTTATTTTGGTAAAATGAATCTTGGTACAAATGGGACTTTGCCACTGAATCTGTAAGGAGTGACCGATTGATTTAAACTTAAACTTGTTCAATACACAGCGAAGCGAAGGGTATTATTGCGAACAATTTTTTTTCCAACCTAAGTCGCAAATAAAAGTGCTCATTAGTGGCACTTTTGGTATATTTCAATTTCATCATATATGAGCGTTTTTGAGCATAAGTAGTTAAATAGCATGCAAAGCTGTTTTTTGGCTAGTGTTAGGTCCTGTTTGAAAACATCAGGTGTTATGAAAATGTATGTGATTTGTTAATGTTTGTTTTTTATTGCGACCCCTTGGAAAATTTTTTGAACTTTTCGCAAAATTTCTCTTTTTCTCTCAAAAACTACTGAACCAATTTTCAAAACAATGCTGTGATTGAAAAACCTGGCTGCTATTCTATTTGCCTGCATAATGTGCTAGTCTCTTTTCAGTTTACACCACATTCTCGGTTTTCGAAAGTTTCAGTAGGGTTTTTTTTACTCATTTGATTTTGAAGTTGTTCATTTTCTCAAATAATGTTTGGATAAATCTGAGATGACCGGTTAAACTAAAGAACTAATCATTGGGATTTCTCTTTCTCAAGCGGCTATTCCCTAAACTCGGAAGAAAAGAGTTATGGCCTCAAACAAGCCCATTTTTTGACTTTTTTGTTAATTTTCTAATTTTTTTTTTGACTTTTCTCAAAAACTACCCTGCCAAATCGGAGAATAAGAGTTCAAGCGGAAGAAAAAACGTGTTATGTGAATCTTCCCTGCGCAAGCGGCTATGCCCTGTGTTTTGAAAAAATATGGCCTTAGAAAATGTACAATTTTTGAAACTTTGCCCGTTCTTTTGGAAACTTTTTTTTATCAAAAACTGCTGATTTTGAGGTTGATAATTCATTCAAATTTAACATCGTGCTTAAATTTTTCCTGTGTAATATGTTTCGCTTTATTTGTTTTGTAGAAAAGCCCATATGGACATCGGAAAAATCCATTTTATGAAGTTTTTACCGTTTTTTTTCTAAAGAAATTTCATCACTGTTCTCGAAAGCTGCTAGCGAAAGCCGATGTTAAGGATTCAATCTAAAAATCAGGATGTGGAAATCTTCCCTGCATACGAGACTATTCCCATGCTTTACTAGAGAAGGTTTTGTGAATTTAGGAAAAGCCAACTTTTTCAATTTTTGATCGTTTTTTGGAATCTTTTTCAATTTTTGTTTCGAAAACTACCCAACCAAATCTGAGATAAAGAATTCAGTTGAAAGATCGATTAGTAGTTTTTTCTTTAAATATGCAGCTAATCCACTACTTAAGCAGAAAAGTTACTAGGTTTTGCGTTAAGTCCATTTTTGAAACTTTCAAAATTACGCATTTCGGTATCAGTACTAAATATGATCAAAATATAAAAACACGTGAATATAGCATAAGTTGGGCAACTAGTTTTTCTTCCAAGCGTCCGTGGCGCGATTGCGAGGAAGTGTAAATCCTAATCAACTGGTAGGAGATCCAAATCCGCAACATGGAAATAGTTACAGTTTTTTAAGTCGAGTTTTTCCTGCATCGCATTGGCAATTTGATAGAAACTGTAGCTGCTTTATTGGTGGCTAGTGTTAGTAAAACTTTAAGTGGTCATGAAGCAGATGTGAGAACGTATTACTCCCAAGCCTTGCAAAAAAGTTTCTCAAGGTGTCTTCTTAACCTTTTCCTTGTTTCACTTTGTTTTGCCTGTTTAGAGATCTTTTTTGCATTTTCCTTGCTTGTGTTTGCGAAGCGCAGCTTCGCCTCTGTGTAAATAAATTGAGATAAATGTGTTCGTAAATAGAAACATCTGTCGTTAAAACGGATATTAAGTTGTCTGTTGGTTTCTTTCGGCTACGTAGTAATGTGCAAAGATTTTACTGGCATACTGTCTCGCTCAGCGGGTTTTCCGCTGCCTCAGTTTCAGATGGGAGTTTCCATTGATTATTTTTTTATTCCCAACGAGTAAATTTGAAGGCTAGAAATAGATAATTTTTGAGTGAAAGACATTTGTTTTTAGATATTAACACTTAATGTAGGAGTGTTCACAAAAAAGAATGTTCCCGGAAATTGGGAGCAGAAGATTCGGCCAGAATGGACCAGAAACACTATATCAGAGCTCTCGTTTTCTCCGGTCGTACAGACTGCAAAAGTTTTTCCTACCCAAGATTACCCATGCGTTGTTTGTCGCATTCATTGTGGTCGTTGTATACAGACAGTCTGATTCCCTGAAGGAAGAAAAACTTCTGTTCTGGACATTCATGGCTCTCCATGCAATTACTATGGTGTGCATATTTTATGATCTAAACCAAGCGAACGGGAATTAAAAAGGGCCAATTGTGTCCCACAGAAAGCAAAATGGTTCGAAATTTTATGGACTATAAAGAGCTGCAGGAAGTAATTAAATGCAATCCCCTGTGAAGACGTTATTCTTTATATTAATCAAACTGCGGCACCTTTTACCTTGCCATCATTGACTAATTTTATGCCTAGTTGCAATGCTCATGTTATTGATTGCATTTAATAAAACTGATGGGTTGCCTTCATGGAAATAGACAGCAGAAAAATATTTTGCGACGAAGATTCGGGGTTATAAAAAAAAGGTTCACGTAGCTATTTGATTTTCCTGCCGCTCCAAAAAACCGAATACCTTGCTCTGGCGTTGGCAAATTTTGTTCGTAAAAGATTATGACAATTTTTGCATAGTGTTTTCGAGGCGCACTTTCAAAATAGGAGAGTTCAATGCCTTTTTACGTTGAGCATGGGAGAAATTGAATAACGAAAGATAGTTGTTTTTTAACACAGCTCAGTTATGTCATCTAGGTTATAATCATCATTGATGATTGTTAGATGTTCTTCTTCGTGGCTTCATGCATGGACCCTGGCTACGTCACGAGAGAGTCTGTCAAACTCATCATGGATTCGCTCAATTCAACTCCGGGTACTACTAGCGACCACAACGGATCCATCTCAGAGTTTGCAGTCGACAAAGAGTACAAGGACTCTTTCTCGTCAGAAGACAGCGAAGATGAAGTGTTTGTGGATCCTCATGGCTCGGAAAGGTGCTCCAAAAGCGATTGATTACAAGAGTAGACTTTTGAAATTGCTCTACGAAAGATTTGCTTATTCGAAGAATTTTGTTAATGTTCCTCGGTTAATTTATTTAGAATCGGTAGTAAGATTAGTCAAAAATGTGGAATCAACAAATTCTGTGGAAATGCAATATTTTAACTATTATAAGTAGTTACTGTGCTTGAAATGAACCCAATGGTGATCAATTTTTTCTCGGTGCATGTTTTCAAAATACCATTCGACATCAAAAAAAGGTGAACTGGTTTCAAAAACTTGTAGAAAGACTGAACAGACATCCCCTTTTAAAAATCAGTTTTTGTCCACGGTCAAATAAGTTCTTGGTTCTCCCTTTTTAAGTTATGTCTTATCTAGTGTGGCAGAATAAGTGAAGTTTTGTGACACGAGTTTGATGCGCTGATGAGCATACTTTGACAAATAGGGAAAAGGGTATTGCCATCGGGTACTATACTTTTTCCCATAAATAACTTTAGGCGCAGATTTGGCAAATGTGTAGGAATGGTAACTTTTAGACATGCTTAATTTCTTGAAAATTCAAATAAAACTACCTTCATTTAGGGTAGTAAATAGCTGTAGTCCGTTTCCGGTGTTAATTTTTTTTTCAAATAATTTTCTTGAGAAAATGTTTCAAAAATGTTTTTTTTTCAGATTCGTGGTTTTCGACCTAGTTTCCGTCGGTTCATTTCCCGTTTTTTCAATTGAAATTCGTTTTTTCAGTAATATTTTTTTGGCTTTTTTGTTAAGCTTGAATTTTATTTTTATTTTGAAACTGATGAAAGTTTGTAACTTGTCATATTACCAATTTGGATTTTTAATAGCTGTTCTTAATATCTATCTATCTAATTTGTATTTATCATTTGAACTTATGGTTTAAGTATATGTTGTTTCCTGTTTGTATGTATTTTCCAGCTCATATGCTGTTTCAATGATAACAACAGGTGATTCAGTCTCTCGTGAATTTAATCTTGCCGGTTGCCAGGCCAAAGGCTGTGGTGGTGGTTAAGATCTGGGAAAATGGCATAGTATATTGCACTATTTTGAACCTATACCTATCAAGGTCACAAAAATCAGAGCAAGTTGGTCTAAACCAAGTTTGAGGCCTCAGCTCCTGTAAGGAATTTGTAGGACGAAGAGTTATGCAAAGCGAACGTTTGGGGGCTGTTGTGAAACCCAGCAAGCTGTGTGCGGGCGGGGGGGGGTGTCCAGAAAATAAGACGACAGCTGTAAAGACGTAAAGAGTAATAGCTGTACTAAATACTTAATAACCGTTTAATCAATCAATATATTGCCATCGGGTACTATACTTTTTACGTCATTTGAGCGATTCAGGTGATTCAGCGCATCAAACTCGTGTCACAAAACTTCAGCTAACGCACGAGAGACTGAATCACCTGTTGTTATCATTGAAACAGCATATGAGCTGGAAAATACATACAAACAGGAAACTACATATACTTAAACCATAAGTTCAAGTAATATATATTGATTGATTAAACGGTTATATTGTGTTTTTTTTCGAGGACAAAAGTTCCTGTTATTATTAAGTAAGGTATTATTAAGCTTGCGAGAGCAAGTGTCTTGAAATCCGGTGCAAGACTTTTCCATTAAACAACTTTTCGTACACGTTTTAACTTTTCAACTTGCTTTTTTTATGAGCCTTCACGGCCTTCAGACTGCTTGCATTTGGCCTAGTGTTAACGCCGTCGCCTTTGTTCCCTAATTCTCTGGGTTCGACTCTCAGCCGGACCTTGTTTTTTTTTCAGTATGTATGCATTTGAAAAAAAATTCAGTACAAACTGGTTTGTTGGATTTCAGTTATTCTGCTTAAAATCTGTCGGCTTAGTTGCCACATCACATATCTTGTTTGTCCTGAAAGCAACTTTCATTGCAAGTGCAAGTGTTGTTCTTTGTAGGTTCATGTAGGAATTTTTGAAAATTCATTTTCGGCGCAACAGATGTCTGCTCAAAGATTGTCGGCTTAGTTGCCACATCACTGATATTTCTTTTCTTGTGCTGTAGGCAACTTCAATTGTAGTTGAAAGTTCCACAAGTGTTGTTCATTCTAGTCTCGGGTGGGACATAAAACTGTAAAAGTTATTTATGAAATCATATTTTTTTCTGCTCAACTTGTGTCTCCTCAAAGAGTGCCGGCTTTGTTTCCTCTGCGTAAGTTTTGTTCTGTTGCTAATTTAATACTCAAATTGCTACCATATTAGCTGAGAATGAACTTCTATCGAGACATGCGAAATTTTAGTTTTTGGTAGAACTAGTTTTTTTTAACGCTTTCCATTTTTTCAATGTTTTTGTTTAAACGCCATCATCATGAAATCTGAATTGAGCTACATAAATTGCGATAAGATTTTCAAATGATTTTCCAAATATTTTGCAAAAAAAAATGTTGTAATCTATCTCCCGCGCACAAGCAGGTCGGCGAGTATTCCTCTGATGTCATCCGGCAGAGGTTCGTCTCCCACCAAGAGGTCTATGAATTCAGACTATGCTGCTCCGAAGTTGAGCTACAAGGACAAACCAGTCACTTTCCGAAAGTGCAACTATTGCGAGATTGTACAGCCTCTCAGAGCAAAACACTGTTAGTTTTTTATATTAACTTCGTTTGGCGTAACTGTTTCTCACTGAATTTTCATATGATATGTCCACGTTTTAAAAGCATTTAATAATGCCCGAAAGAGCGTAAATGAACTTTCAACTGACGGATTCCGGAATTCATGTCTGGTGCTGATGAGTAACTGCACAATGCATATATATTTACGTTGGCTAACTGTGTTTCATTGTGCTTTGCCGAGCAACGTCATTTCTGTTAAACGGAAAACGGGGCAGATTGACCTCGAAGTTATCGGAAAAACTGATTTTGTTCCATGATAACATTCCACTTCTGATTCATTAGTTCAAGTGTTTGAAATTTTAGTTTTTTGATCGGAGACAGTAAAGACGTTCACGGAATTCCTGATTTTGCCGGTTTTTTTTAACCGGATTCCGGAAGTAACTGTGAAGTTTGCAGTAATACGGTACATAGCACGTTTGCTGGTAGTTTCATAGTGAAAAGTCTCAAACGACTAGTGAGGATGGAAAAACTTAATCGCTGGTTTCTCATGCCTGATTTTTTAGTGAAGCAACATTAGCGGCTTCAAACTTTGTGAGAAAGGGACATAAGAAGATGTGTTTCATGTATGCTGGGGTTTTAGGCGAGGAGTGTGGTAGGTGTGTGAGGAAGTATGACCACCACTGTCCGTGGCTGGGTTCTTGTGTTGGGGAGACAAACCACAAGTTCTTCTTTCTCCTTCTATCCTTCGGACTACTCACTTGTGCACTCACCATACACATCACATATCACGCATTCCAAACTCCACAATCATACACTCTGTCAGGTCAGTCAAATTCACTCCTCCTTCACTTCAAAGTTTCATATATGTTGTCCAAAAATTGAAAAAATATGTTACGTTTTTTTTTTACAATACATCACCTCGGTTCCTTTTGCCATATTTTTTGCTGACGGCAAAGAAAGAAAGAAAAGATAGCTTAAATAAATTACTTATGGTCGAGAGACAAACTTAGTGAAAAGACAAGTAAATCATGATTTTTTTATTCAATAGATTACCTGAAGCTGAACCTACTCCTAATTGTGGCATTTGTGTTGGAGTGTCTGTTCCTGATGGTAGATGGAGTGCTCTTCTGTGCACATGCATATCTCATGTTCTCCAACCAGACCACCTGGGAGTTCATGGCCAGACACAAAATCACATACTTGAGAGAACTGCCAGAGGACGAGAACCCATTCGACAGGTATAAAAAGAGCAAAAAGAAGCGCAAATAATTATGATCGAGCAGTGATAGTCTAAGTTAATGCAATTAGGAAGAAACCTTTGGCAAGAGTAGATAACGGCATCAGCAATTTTTTCAAAAAAAATATGTAAATATTTGTTTTGGTTGAGGCAACATACCTAAGAAAATCTCTGAAAATGTTCTGAAGTGACTGAATTCTCCCTCTAGCAGTCAGAGGGTCGTTGGTTTGAGGCCTACAATGATCCGCGCCAGTGGCCTGAGTGTTAGGCAGCATACCCAGCATGTAGGTCTTAATTTGCTTGTAGGTCTTAATCAGGGGCACAGCAGTAGCTTTCCGTCACAGCCATCTCGAATGTGAATAGGAATCTATCAGGAATAGACGGCCATTAGGTTATAGTTTTGAAAGAACTCATTCGGAAGATAAATAGATATGCTAATATTTTTAACGCAGGGGTCTGGCGAAGAACTGCTGGCAGTTTCTATGCAACTGCAGATCCAGGCACTGGGAGCTCTACTTCACAAACCTCTCCCGCCAGGCCACTCAGTCTTGCGTGTCCCAGGTGATGATACACACGGCCAATGCAGCTGCCACAGCTGTTTCATCTTCAGCATACGGGGGAGGCAGTTCATGTTACCCACAAGTGACGCAGTCATCAAGTGGCGGAATGAAGAAACAGTACTCACAGTTGAGAATAGAAGACTCAGATGATGGTTAGATTATTTGAAATCTCGTTACTTAATTGCATTTGTACCAATATTAAAATTCATTTTGAACCAGTGGCCGGGCATCGGCAATTTGATACCGATACATTGATACCAATATATTTTATATATTGATAACTATAGTACCCGGTTGTTGTGCTTTGAGATACATTTTTTTTTCGTTTTTCATTTTGAGGTTTATTTTTTTTGAGTTTTTTGGAGGCAACGAAGGAGAATTACGTGATTTTTTATAAGTGTGCATAAAAGGGTTTTCATTTTATAATTGATCTTAAATGTTTCAACCGAGAATTCATGAATAGAACACGGTTATTCATAAAGATAAATCTTAAAAGCTAAAAAAAAATTAGACCAGATTACTGGACACCGGGCTTCAGTATGATATTCCGGTGGCATGTCAACGTGCCGGAATGTCAGTTTGTCGAAATTATCAAATCTGTCAGTTTGCCGAAATGTTAAAGTACTCTTCGACTTGATTCGCTACATACTTTCAAATTCTCATGAAAAATGTCCTATTGTCTTTCTCTGCTGGCTTTTTTGCTCGTAAGACTAAATTTGGTTTACATTAAACCAAGGTTTTGTAAAGTGTGAAGTGAACGAAACTCTAAATTGTTGCCAGGTTAATGAGACAACCGAACTTAAAGGCGACATGACATTAAGACGGCAAATGAGCGTTAAATCATCCAAAATGAACTATTAGAGTTTAAGAGATTTTAAGAGATTTTTATTCCTCAGAAAGACAATTAAAGATGTTTTAGTGGCGTCTTAAAAACTCATCAAAAACTGCTTTTATCATAACAGCTGTCGTTTTACTTGCCAGGAACCTTCTAAATTACCTCCTAGAATGATTTGATTATTTTCTAATTACATCATTCTCTAATTGCTTATTCTCTAATGGTAATAACAAAATGCCAATCTTAAATTGTTTTAGAAATTCAAAGAGCTTAAAGGACATCTTTTTTTTCTTTTAAATTCGATTTTTTTAACAAAATCATTGTGGTTTACCTGTTCAGGGATTTCTTTGGTGCTTGGATGTATCAGAATGCAGCAGAATTCTAAATGTATGGATGCAGCAGAATTCTTTGGTGCTTGGATGTATCCATTTTTTACTCGTGTTTTTAATCTGACAATCCATCATCTTATGACATTTTGTTATTGTTCCGACCATTGAAAATGGTGAGGAACTTTGTATTCGGATGGGTTTGCTTTTTTTCCAGGCTAAATGAGGTATCACAAATAATCATTCAACTGAGTTGAGTGATGTATCATATTAAAGCCCTTTAAGTCGTGATTCGAACGACCTTCAAAAATTTCTATTTTTGTTTTCACTTCGTCGAGAAAAACCGTTTTGAAGTATTCGATTTTTGGTCTAATTTCGAGCTAATAAGGTGACCGTATAAGCTTACAATAGCTTATTTAAGCTTAATTTCAGCCGTGAAAGCTTAGTTTTTTTCAAGTAAAGGTTTTTGGAGTTTTTTAGTGCAATTTTGAGAAACAAAAACTTGACAATTCAAAAAAAATTGGAAAAAAGTTGAAAAAAATATCGAGAAAACTGTTCAGGCAGTTGTCATGCAATTCGGACATTAGAACGAATCTACAGCCCGAGAGCAACAGAGAAAACTTGAGTAAGATAGTGTGTGTCAAATTGAGTGATGACATCCACAACGCGGGAGAAATGACAGGGCAAATTAGGCACTGAAAGAGCTTCTAAAGGCGAGGTACAGGCTATCGGACCTGAATCGAGCACAGAAAAACGTCAAAATGAAAAGCCAACTCCCAAATGGATCAGAGCGGGGGAGAAGGCAAAGGGGGACCTAGAGGGGGATAGTTACAAGATCTTGAGCCAGTTCTATAAGGAACGGAAGAGATTACTTTATCACACGGCGGATGGTGTAGTGGCCTGCAAGAGAAGAGATGATGAGAAAATACTACACAAACACTACCTCGTCTTATTACCGCAGCTATATCAGAAGAGGGGCTGCTCAGGTCGCATGATCAAAAGGGACATCAGGGAAAAAAGTGCAACGAAGAACATTTCATCGGTTTTATTGGCCTGGCTTGAGGAAGGCTTGCGAGAGATGGGTCAATGCGTGCTTGTCATGTCTGCAAGTGAAAGACCCAAGAAAAATGAAGTTCCCACTGAAGTCGGTGGAAAGCTCGGAATTCAATGAAGTTGTGCTGGTAGACCACCAAAAAATCTGTATGACGGAGACGGGGTACAACCAGATCCTAGTGATCAAAGATTTTTTCGAAATTTAATTTTTTTTTTCGTTTCTAGTAATTTTTCTTAGAAAATTGTTTTCCAATTGACCTATTTTCCTTTGATTTTCAAATTTGCCTAAGTTCTTGTTTTTTCTTGTAATTTTTTTGTTCAGATCTTTTTATCAGGACACCAATTTGAAAAAACTTTTTTTTGTATTTTTTATGACTGTGGTCGGAATATTCTGTGCTACTTGTTTGAACTTTACGTTTGATTGGCCGGGGATTGTCAAGCTTTCTGAGTATTTTGAAAGAATAATTGTTTATCATTTAAAAAATTAATAAATATGTTGAATGATCGTTTCTCCATAGTTTTAGAACTTCGATTCTGGGTATAAATGGGGGCACGCTTTAGATTCTTATATTGTTTCTAGGTGCGGGATGTAAACAAGGTCGGGTTGTAAACGCGGGCAGGTTGTAAACGAGTATCTCTTTATCATAAAGTATCATGTTTGTTTTGTGGTACCCGATTTAGCGTGAAAAAACCCACCCAAACCCAATTTTCATCCGAATTTTAACAAAAACAAAGGTATGGATTGGAGAATAGATAGTTGAGCGTTTCCATATAACTAGACACCTCAGTCTGCGAAAGAGATATTCAGCAGCTGTAGGCAATCCTTGATTAATTGGGGTCAATTTTTAGATCAATATACAGTGGAAGAGCACGAGGGGAAAGAGTGGCATCCAATTCAGTGCAATGATGTGCAGCGTAATGACTTCGATGACGATGACTCAATATTCGTCAGTGGAAAAACGCCGCCTCAATCTGTATCATTACATGCTGCACAAATTATTGAAATCGATGATCGAGTAACTAGTGCTGCAGGAGAAAAGCAGTGGGAGGAAATCGAAGAAGGGAAGGGACGAGAGGAGTTGAAGAATTTGGACGATGACACCAGGAGAGTAGACGATAGTGGGAATGGGGAGTCGTCTTGTTCTTCGAATCCAAATCTCAATGTCAGCAATGTCTGAGAAGGCATAACCACTACAGGGTCTATGGACTTCTTCGCCATAAGCAGCATCAGACGGAAATGATTATTTGTTCATCAATAAAATCATCAGATCAATTGATTAATGAATCAGAATTTTGAAAAGCCAGATAAAACATACCATAGAAAAAACAAAGTTATTGTCATTGTCTGGAAGGCTTTTTTATGCTTGTTAATCCAAACAGAAGGGTGGCTATTTCTCCTTGGCAATGTTAGTTGTCATCATCAGAGACACTAGATTTCTTGTCGTCACTTTTTGAGCTGTAGTCTACATTTTTGACAGATTACTGAATTTGGGCGTGGCATCATCATCATCATTGGTTTTCCACACTCTTCTTGGATTCGAAGGTGTTAACGATAATATTTGTTTCCAGTCTGATTTTGTGGCATGCTTGTGGTCGGCTCAATGTCCTTTGCAGATCAATGTTTTTCGGAAATTGGACCTGGATCTTATTTCAATAGTTATTCACTACTTGGATTGAACAAATTTTGGTTTAAAAAACTGCTTTGAAGAATAGATGCTGCTAATCTGATTTAAAATGCTAAGCTACAAACAAGGTTTAATAGAACTGTGAGTCACTTACAGCTTCAGACATGTGTTTTCTATGTACTTGTGAGTACGAAAGAGCAAAAGATAGAATATGTAAGATGCAAAAGATTGAAAGATGTAAAATTTTTCTCATTTGTAATCTTCTGAGTGTTGAATTGTTTCTCGACGTTTTTGAAGTGAGATTTTTGGTGAAAATCTTGCGACTGGTTTTGCTTATATCGTGGTGTTCCAAATGATTTCTCTAGATGTGACATTGCATAGACGTCTAATTATCTTTGACATTTAAGAGGCTCGAAGTTAGAAACGAGATTGAAAGGCTCAACCAGTTAATAAAAACCGTATAATAGAAGTATAATTTGTTTTTGGTGTATTAGTTGTCACTCAGAACTTTCTGTGCTAAACAAAGAAGTATATCCTGTTTTTGCTGTTATCCAATGGTTTATGCGTTCGTACTGAATAAATTAGTTGTTCTTCTGAAAGAAGCAAAATTGTTTAGTAGTTAGTCAATCATATCCCTGTGCAAATTAAAGAACTTCTCCTAATTCAAATCTATAAAATATTTCGATAAAATACAATTTTCTCCTGAAGAAACGATTATGTTTGAAATCTAGATATTCAGCATACCCACAATACAAAAAAAATGTTATTGCACAATCTTAATTCTGAATGTCTCAATTGTTATGCATAAAAATTGGTTCAAAAATCCTTTTTTCAGATTCAAATGGTTAGAATGTAGCTTTAGATTTGCTGCACTACGATGAGTCATAAAGCCCTGTTTTTTCAGTCGCTTAAACCCAAAATTTTGAAACGGCTGCAAAGCTGTGACATTCCGAATGCTACAAGAGCGTCAACCTCAGTAAGGGAAATCGATCGGATCAGAAATATCGGAATATTAGCTCATGTAGATGGAGGTAAAACAACCTTAACAGAGAGGATTTTATTCGCAGCGGGAGTGACAAATCGAATGGGAGATGTTGACAAGGTATATGAGTGTTCAAAAGAATGCTTGCGATATCCGTTTAGTTTCCAAATTCTGTAGTCTACTTTGCATACGCTACTTTTATATCTATCGTGGCGTTACATGCAATTTTCACAAAATGATTTTTAAGACGAAACTTTTCAGGTTATTGGCTGTCGGCTTATATACCGATTTTTTTTCATGGCAATATCCGTTGGTACTTTTGAAGTCGATAAACCTCTCTCATCCATTTTTGAATGCCCAAAGTCCACCCAACTAGAACCTTTACCCAAGTAAATGTAAACACGAAAGAAATGCTTTTTTGTTTAATTTTTTTCGCGTTTTTTACCTACTGTTTCAATTCTCACATCGTTCAAATTCTGTTTGCTAATTATTTAGCGTCGTTTTGCGTTCATCGTATAAATGATGAGAAGATCAGCTTCGCCTCTACATAGAGTCCCTAATTTAAGAGCTCTTATTGTGATAAGAATAGTAACACTTGTGTTAAAATACGAATCTAGATATAGGTTTTTCCAAACTAAGCCGAACATTTCATTACGGAGTTTTTGTGTGATATTGTTTCTGCGTTATAATTTAAGCAGCTTGAGTTATACCCGTTTTATTAGAATAGTTGTCTGAAAGTAGGAAATGTGGTCGGTTTAGTGACAGCGTGTATTTTAGTTGCGCAACAGGTTCGATACCTCTTGAAGTGATGTTTTTCAAAGTTTTATTTTCTTTCTTAGAGGCTTATTTCTATTTCATGAATTTTCTACCTTTTCGATAAACAAGGGTATTAACATAGGGTCCTATACTTTTTTCCAGAAATAAGTTTATTCTCAGGACTTATCGAATATTGGTGCAATCCGTTGGAAATATTGTAACAGACATATTGTGAGCATGTTAGCACATTATAAATCCGTCTTATTCGAAATTTGCTTTTCATGTTGGCTGTAATTTGATTCGATTTGTTATATTTCGTATTTTTTGTTTTCACTTCTTTCAAGTCAATAGGTTTCGGCATATATTAAAAGAGCTTAGTGACCGTTTATTTGCGTCGCTTTATTTGCGTCGCTTAAAGAGCAAAAGAAAGTTTGAGTGTGTGTGTTTCGAAGTGTTGGAGGACTTAAAAAAACTTCTTTCATTTCATTAAAGTCTTTTTGAATTGTTTTCGGCTTAAAGCGTTTCTACTCAGGTATTTTTGGATTTATTTTTGCCTAGTAAATTTTCCTCCGATGCTAATTTCTTTTTTGACAATCCTGAGATGATTTTTTTGCTCAAAACTAGTATTGATAGATAGATTTTATGAGCGGAATATTAGCTCATGTAGATGGGGGCTAAAAACAACCTTAACTGGATTTTATATGCAACGGGAGTCACAACTGGAATGGGATTTCTGGCTTAATTTTTAACAACTTAGTGTCCTCGTTTGTGTTCTATCTGACAAATTTCCTGATAAATCGATTCAAGGCCACATAGAATATTTGTTTAATTTCAGAATCTAATCGTTTCTGCTAATTTTTCTTCTTTTGAACGTTCTATTTTTGGACTATCGTTTATGTGTTTAATTTGCTGTTTAGCTCCACAAGCACAATGTTTTTTGAAGGCTCAGCTAGTTTCAACGTTGAAGAGTGCCATATCTTAAATTTGTAATGGTGTAGCTAACTGAGTTTCATGTGTTGTATAGTTTTTTCAGTTTCTTTGGGTTAAATGATATTCGTTTTATGGTTTTGACATTTTTCCCGGCTCATCGGGTGACTGACTACCCATGTATTTTATGCATAATTACCGCTCTTAACATTTGTCTTAAAACTGATTTAATACTGACAATCGTGTTTCACGACACTTTTTTTGGAATGGAAATTTTCTTGTAGCAAACGTATAGATATGTTGGACTAATTTTTCCCAGTGATTTTGATTTTCAAGTTTTTTTACTGGAGACTTCCGGCCAGCTGCTATTCTAGGTATTCTATTATTTTTCTTTGTGGTAATTTGTTCTATGAGATCCGGTATTCAAAAACGTCCATATTAATCTGTTGATAATTTTGTTTTCTTGTTCTTTTACACGTTTTTACCTTTGCGATAAGCAAGCGTTATCAAACTGGAATATAGACTTTTTTCTAGTTAACAACTAGTTTAACTAAATGAGTTGAATCACTTGCTGACTTCTTTTCACATGTCTTCTCTGAATATCCTCCAGGCTGCCTTCCCCTTGGCCTGGAAATAAAACAGTTGCCTTTGTACCCTAAGATGCGGGTTCGAGTCGTCGCCGGACCTTGTTTTTTTCAGTATCAAGGAGATTGAAGAAAAATGATTTCATATTTTTTTTCGGTTCAACTTGTGTCTGCTCAAAGATTGCCGGCTCTATTTCTTTTCGTAATTTTTCTTCCGTTGTTGCTGATGTAAAATTCAAGTGTCTGGTATGTTTGTCTGAAATGAACTTCTATCAAGATATGAAATGAACTTCTATCAAGATATATGAAAGTTTATCTGAATTTTTTTTTAATTTTCAATTTTTTTTCGTTTTTTTTTGTTTGTTGTATCGCACAATGTGCGAAGCTCTGCTTCGCCTCTGTTAATAGTTTGTTGTCTAACTTTTTAGGGATGACTTCAAGTGGGATAGAATGCGATCTTTTTTATTAGATGAAGCTTTCTAATAACATTTAATTTATCTGTTTTTTCGAGTTACTGAATAGGGAATGCTACCTGGTCGTATACTGTTTCCGTTTGAAACAATTATCTCAGGACTAATCTCCGTTGACAGATAAACTCCGAAGAGACTATGCGTCAAATGACATGTGTGCTGGTTTGCATTTTATTTTCCGTTCTTTTCGAAATTTGTTTCAATGCTGGTTGTGATACAAATGAATATACAATCAAAGATTTTAAGTAGTTTCATTTTTTGTTTTTAGATGCTTCGGACGTTGATTTTTTTAGATTCGTTTCGAATTTGGATTACATTTTTCAGTTTTGCCATTGTGGCAACAGATATACCAGTTTTCTTTAATTGCATGATAAAAAATTTTTAATGATTGAAGGTTCCTGAAATCCTAAATCATGAATCATGATGCATCCTAAATCATGATGCACTTTTTTCTTCAAGTATCGAAATTTTCAAATGGTAAGCAATTTTTGGTTTGCTTGAGTTTGTTGGCACTTATCAAACATTCTTTCGGCTATGGTTTTAGAAGCATCAAATATAGAAAAATAACATGTTGACGTAAGTTATGCTGGCGTAATTGTGGCATATTGCATTATTTGTAGAGGCAATTGTTTATTCCTAGCGGGGATTTCAAAATAGTAGTGATGTGACTAGGCACTTCATTAGAGTAATAAGTTGCTTCTACGCTGGTGTGAGCGAAGTGCAACAGTGCTTTAGTATCTGCTGTTAACTAGTGTTGTTCATCAATCTATTTTCAACAGGGGAATACCGTGACTGATTTCCTGGAAATGGAGAGAGAGAGAGGCATCACTGTCAATTCAGCCGCAGTCAGTTTCCCGTGGACACCAGAGAGGGGACTTCTCAGAGGCAAGAGACACGTGATTAATCTCATTGACACGCCTGGTACGTGAAAGGTAAGACGAATCTGTCAATAAATGGAAGGAGTGATGCTATTTTAATAATTCACCCATTTAATCGACCGGTGACACACAAAAAACATGATTTTGAGAAGTTTGCTTGTCAATTTGAGCAATCTCTGCTGATTTTTCGTTTTTTAGCTAGTTTCTGCAGGATTCTTTCATCAAATGGAATGTCTTCCCGTACGCTTGTTGCAAAATTTTTTGACTACCCTATTTATTATTATTTTTTGTTTTTTGTATTACAAATCCATATAGTTAAATATAAGGCATAATTGTTATCGGGTTAGCTGAATGGTTTTCATGAGAAATAGCACCTTACAGATATTGTGAAATAAAATTTCTGAAACAACTTTTCTAATAAGTCTAGCGTCTGTTGATGTTGTAATATCAATCCATGTGTTTATCTGATACAGGTGCATTGGCAGAGTCCTCTTCTGATCATAAATCCAAAGACTGCATAACAGTCCCTGGCCCTATTGGGCAAGTCATTTGTATCAGTCCGCCCAAAACAATGCATTCGTTTTTTCCAAAAATGAAAGGTGAATATCAATTCATTAATTGCGGGCGAAGTTCTAGTGCATTTTGGAGTACGTGAAACTGTTCGTATGGTGGTGCTATCAGGCGGAGCTATTTTGAGATAGATAAGTTATTGTTTCATACGCTCTCGGTTAAAGTCCCTTTAACACGGGCGAGCTAGTGAGCCTTGTTTGCTAGTGTGTATCTACCCCCCCCCCCCCCCCCACAACAAAAATGCTCACTTGGTAGCATTTTTGCTTTGATTGCAATCTGTCATAGCATATTATCTATGCATTATTGGTGGATTGTGCTTGCCAATCTTTAACCGACCGTGGCGAAAGTGGATGGACTTGAGATTCCTTATTTACTGGCCGGAGGTTTCAATGTCGCCTCAGAGCTAGTTTTTTTTATTTGTTGGTAAGATGCTGCGGTGCATAGGATTGCAACTGTTTTAGCATCTGAAGCTGGTATATTGGTGGTTAGTGTTGGTAAACTTTGAATACGTGAGACTCCTAACTGATGCGACGACATTATACTCCTAATCT